ATATATATATATATATATATATATATATATATATATAATTTTAATTTAATATTTTTTCAATTTTAATTTTCTCATTTTAAATCATAACTTACTGTTTATTAATAATAATAATAATAACAATAATTTTGTTTAAATTAATCACTCAGTCAATTTTTGAACTTAATTTGTGTCATTCACATTTTATTTTAATGCAATTTTATTATTTTGAATTTTTTTTATTTTTAATAACATTTCATTTTAACATAATTTATACTTATTATATTTTATTTTAACTTAAATTTATGATCAAAGATAAATGGTCATCTTCTAGTATGAATAATTAAAACTTTTTTTAATCTATCACAAAAACTTTCATACATTTTTCTCTAAAAGCTTGATTTTTTATTATCTTTCTCTTAATCCAAACAACCATATTTTCATTTCGTTTTCCTCAATCTTCCAAACTTTGTTATATTTTCGTTCCTCTCATTTTAGAAAGTTTCATATTTAGTTTTTCATGATCAACTTCGTTATTTTTTTTTCACGTAGCAAATGACATGTCATATCCCTAATTCGTTTAAGACATATGTATTGTGTCCCAAGTTGGCAAGATAATCCGATGACAAACGCTGTGCCATGTCCCCAGTCTGGTAAAGTCGACATGGCATGTGTACTGTTTCACCATGTCCACAAGATAGTCGAATAGCCTGTAAGACATTAAGATAGCCCGGTGAAATGCATAGAGAACTCATATAGTTCATTCGGAAGTTTAGAGAACTCAGTAAGATGTTATCTGAGCTATTGGAGTTCTACATAGACTTCACCGAACTATTTGGATTTACCACCAAGCGATCTAACTTCTCTATGTACCTTAGTGACATATTTGAACTTCACATCAATGTATCCAAGTTCTCCATTACCTTACTTGTCTTTCTATCACCAAATTACTTGGATGTCTTGCTAAACACGATAGAGGTGTCTTGCCAACCTTATTAGGCTGGAAACATGAAACACTCTTTGTTAGTGAGCTATCTTGCTGACGTGATGACACAATACACATATTTTAAAGAATGACACACTCTTTGACATCTCAAAATAAAACTAAAAATTAAATTCATGAATTTCTAAAAAAAACTGGATAGAACAAAATTTAATAAAAAACAAAAACAAAAAAAAAGTTATAACTTAAAAAACAAAATCATATTTAAACTTTCATTTATCTTTCCTCTCAAGTCAACTGCAATCTTTATAAACAAACACATCCTAAATGTTATCCGTAAAATACTTGAGTTATAACGAAATTATATGATATTATTATTAGAATCGAGTTTAATTAGTTTATAAAAAATTATACTGAGAGAGGATATAAATTAAATTGAAAACTTTTCATTAAGTAATAAAGGATTTTTTTAGTATTAATGATTTTGAATGTAAAACAAATTTTATATAACATAAAAATATAGAATGTTTTAGCTATAAGAGATGTAGATACCAAGTTGAAACATTCTCGTAACTTCCAATGTTTTATTTTTTTTTTCACTTTTATTTTCTATACCCACTTAACACTCTCGTAGCTATTAATTTAATAAATTTTTATTTCATTTCATTACAAATTTATCCTTTAATATATATAAATTCTAATCACATCGGTATACAACTCTCAGGTTGTCTGCATATATTTTTTCGTTCATTTAATAAAACATGACAGAAAGAAACAATAGCAAGCTTCACTTCAATCAGTTTCCTTAGTATCATTAAATTCCATCTAATAAGAAATCAATTTCTTCATCTCCCATGCCATCTTCATATATTATATTCATCCCAAATGAACATAGTATCCAACAAAAAAATGAAGCACACTATTTTCATACATATATAGGGGGTGATTTGAGTATAGAAGAAACACACATCATTACCAACCCAGTGACCTTTGACTTCGCTCGGCGTAAAGACGATCCACGGTATTCATACGCTGCAGCCTCATTTCTTGGTAGAAGTGAGTAATGAAATCCTCAGCCTTGGAATCAATCATCTCATCCCCATCTCCATGAATGCGTTCCTCGCACTCCTTCACGATCACCTCTTGCTTCACATTCTCCTCATCACATTGAACCAGTTCGTTCAACCCCACAGCCGAAGCGTAACGGCTACTGGGTAGTGAAGGCGAGTGAGGCCCCTCCTCCGCCACAAAATTAGAAGCGTTGCCTCTGCATTCCATCGCTGGCCACTTAGGCGAATGAAAAAAACTGGCGGAGTCAGAAACAGAGCATGGGGATTGGTTGCTTTGAAGGTGCAAGGGCCTCGTGGACCCCACAACCCTCTTCCACCTGCTCTTGGACCCATCGTCGATTTGACCAACCTGTTGAATCGCCTTTGGCTTTTGGGAACGTCCTCGCATGACGAGGAGCGCCACCCTGAGAAACCGCATGCCACCGCTCATCTTCTCGTCCTTGAGGGGTTTTGGTTCGTCACTCTGAAGACGGTCTATTTCTATGTCGGGGATGTCGATGATGGTACATTCATGACTTTGTTTTTCCATAAATTGATGTAACGAGGATGATCGAGGAGGTTGAGGAAGGAGTTGTCGACGATATTCTCACATTTGAGGAGATATTTGAACAGTAACAAAAGCACTGAGGAAAAATGTTGTGACGATGAAGTTTATGTGCGAGAAAGATAAAAACGGAAAAGGACGACCAGCGGAATAGTGTGGTATATTGGTGTAAGCTCTCCGTTGTCGAGTAATATTTTTAGAGCAATTTTGTTTATATGTCAAGGGTTTGTAAATTGTATGGTGTGCATGATTTTGAAAGTTAGTTGATCAAAATAAACTTTTTTTATTGTTATTATTGTTACCATTAGTTAAATCTACTTTGTTTTACCGGTTCAGTATTTAATTTATCATTTTATTATATTGTAATTTATTTTACTGTTTGTGCACTCACATATATTTATTAAATATATATATAGATTAACTTGATAGTTACACATGTGAGCAGATAAATTCATTTTGATTCTTATCATTTACAATTTTTTTTTTGAGAAATGCTTATCATATCACTAAGATTAATTTAAAGATAATTAATGGTCTTACTTTAAAAAAACGGCTTTTGAAAATAATACTTGAATATTATAAATAAATTTTATAATTATGTTATGCTTGTTCACCTAGGTGAAGTAGGTATCGAGTAACTCTTAAGGTGAAAAAATACATATATATCTTAATTTAATTAAGTTTGGGGTTCGTGATAAATTTGAATTTCAATTGAATTTTTAATAAATTTTATTGTCAATGGTTCAAAAGTTTAAAATTTTTAAATTGAATTCTATTGTTAGATTTTTCTGGTAACTTGGTGATGTGAAGGTTAATTAGGTGATGTGAAGATTATTTTTGTTTCATTTAGTTTTTGTTAAATATAGTTTTATAATTTTTAATGGCTTGATTAAATTTTGAGTCATAGATAAATTTAAAAACTTTCAATTGAGTTCATAATATAAATTGGACACTCACTTGACACTCAAATTAGAGGAACTTGACATTAGGTGTGGGAACCTAACCATAAATGTCGCAAGAGTTTTTACTTTTAAGGATTCAAAGGACTTATGGTGTTAGACACCAAGAAGTGTTCGTTGAGCATTGTCCTGTTTAATTGATAAAACTTAATTTTATAGTTTTTTTGTCATTCTTAACTATAAATGGATGAATTATATGTGAAAAGGAAGAGGTGTGGACCATGTTAATGTTGTATAATTTGAAATAATGTTCTTTTACATTAGCTTGGTATGAATGATATGGAAGGAGAGAGTAGTGATTCTTAAGATTTGAATACTACTATGTTTTGTTAAGTGTGGAATGTATTGATGTCGTAATTAAAGTGAGACTATGTAAGTATTGGATTCATATAGAGAAAAGTATTTAGTTTGAGAATCGAAAAGGATCCTCGTGGTAATAGGATCAAATCTTACAAATATGAGATTTACCCGGTCATAGTCCTTTGTAGAAGATGTAACCTAATCATAATATAATTATAATTCTTAAAAGACAAAATAAGTATGACAAGTGCATGGTCTCATATTATACTTAATATAACAAATCCTCTAGAGGTCGTGTTAGATATATGATGTTGTATAAAAGGTAATGAATGATTTGTAACTATATATATATATATATATATATATAT